GGCGGGAAAGCTGGACGGACAGGACGAGTCGATAAGGGCACAGGGAGGGGTCGTCGCAGGGAGGAGAAGGAAGGAGAGATTTTACGGCTGGGGATGGTAACTGGGGCCGTGAAAGCCAATGTGTAGAACTGCTGAATGCTCAACAAATTTGCTTTGTAAATTTGCACCCAAAGCACAATTAAAACAGACGAGGAAAAGGGCCTCCCTGGGCTGTGCTTGAATTTGACAACACTTTTCACATCCTGACTGGAGCCAGAGTCCCTGAGCATGTGAGTCTGCATAAACTCCAGGGCGGATCATGCCAACACGCGTCCCGTGTCAGGGTGACTCCCTGCGGGTCAGAGCACGGCTGTGCCTACAGGGCTGTCAATGGCTGATTGTTGGGGAGCAGATCGCCCGGCCCTTCTCCCAAGGTGCTTCTGGGTGGATTCAAACCAGCACCCTTTCAGTCAGTAGCTGAGCCCTCAATTGTGAGCACCACATGGGGCTCTGCAATTAACACAAGACCAAACCCAGTTACTGCCGTGGAGTCGAATCCGACCCACAGCGCCCCTAGAGGACAGAGTACAAGTGCCCCACAGGGTCTCCCAGGCTGTCATCTTTACCAAAACAGACTGCCTCATCTTCTCCCACAGAGTAGCTGATGGGTTTGAACCACTGACCAAATGCTTAACCACTGAGCCACCAGGGAACTAGTCCAGTGGCCACTAATCCTGTTAAGAAGCATCCTTTGTACAAACTGAACAATCTCAAGAAAGGAAACCTGCTGCTTATGTTAATTTGAGCCCCTCGTAAGAAACGGAAAGGCCTGTCCTAGCTTACACGTCAGTGCCACACCTCACAGAGGAGTCCAAGTCCGCCTCCCTGAGCCAGGCCAGTCCTACACGGTTACCTGGGCTTTCCCACCTACTCGCTTGGCCTGGAATGACTGCCGACATGCCTCCTCCGCTTCCACTAGCAAAACCAGGTTTGGGGACATTGTTCTAGGCAGACAGCGTTGCTGGGTTACAAATTTCTACCTACTCCCTCAGTGACAGTCAGGACAGACAGACAATAAAAGGATGATGTCAGGATAGACAAGCACACAAAAGAAACTCTCTTGTCGGAAAAGCTGAGCCTCAATGTCAAGTACCTTGGTTTTTTCAAAGACGAGACGACTGCTCATCTGTCTGATACACAATCTCACCGGGTGTTACCTGAGAACTTCTCAATCCCACCAGGCAAACTCCCCCACACGGTGTTATAATTACAATGGGAAGCAGTCCAACAAAGGGCGGAGTTCAGTCTGCCGGACAATGACCATTCCAAGAGAACAGGCATCTAGAATCAGCCTTGAGGGTCAGCAATGGGTCTGCAGGACTCAGGAAGGTTAAAGGCCACGAGCATAGTCTCACAGGGAAAATACGGGATCAGCTGCCATCCAGCTGTTATTTTTATTTTGAGATATACTAACTTTTCTTATTTATCAGGAGAAAAAAAAGTGAATCATTTAATCTCATTCACTTAGAAGGAACCCCCAAAACAGTGGGGATGTGAGGAGCAACTGCAAAGCCACAGAACTGGAACAATCTGCACTAAACCACCAGCTACGGAGACCCTGGGCACCACAGCGGCCTCGGACACGATGGTGGTCTCTGACACCACGGTGACCCGGGGCACCATGGCGGCCTTGGGGTCCAGGCCAGAGGAAGGGACCTTGTTTTCTAATACAAAGACTCTTGCTTCTGCTGGTTTAATATATAGCATGTATTTGTTGTTTAATTTTACAAGTAATAATAAAAAAAACCTCTTAAGATGATTCTAATGCTTAAGTTTGTGAAGCAATCATCTAATCTAAAAAAAAAGACAGGTCAAGGTGAGTGAGAACAGACAGACGTACCTATAAACTAAACCTAACTCACTGCCGTCAAGTCGATCCTGACTCATAGAGACCCCCCACTGGGTTTCTGAGGCAGTACTTCTACGGAAGTAGACTGTCCCATCTTCCTTCTGAGGAGCAGCTGGTGGGTTTGAGCCACCAACCTTCTGGTTAGCAGTCTGCAGTGTAGTATAAATTACTCAGTGTGGCTCTTCTACACATAAGTCTTTGTAAACTCCAAGGTAGGATTTGCTATGAGCAACTGAGGAGCTCCTGATTGCTGAAGGTGTCCACCTGGAGTATTTCTGTTAGGAGTGGCACAAAACAATGTTCTGGGAGGTGCCCACTCTCTCTCAGGTGCTTAGAGTTCTGATGCTGTGACTGGCTAGTTTGACCACCCTGCCGGGCTCAAAAGGAGGCCTCCTAGAGGCAGAACTCTCTCTGACTAATGGTGGAGGAAGACGTGCTGCCGAAAGAGACACGCGCTGCTGGGAAAGAGACGCAAGAGATACGCATTGCTGAGTGACACACCGAGGGACCAGCACTGCTGGGAAAGAGACTGTGAGAGGCTGTTGGCTGAGGGACGGTGGGCTGGGAGAGAGACTGAGCGTTCTTCCTGAACTTGAGTTGTAGCCTGGTGCTTCCCTAATAAACCCCGTAATCCGTGAGTTCTGTGTGGCCACTGCAGCAAATTATCAAACCCAGGAGAGAGGTGGTGGGTGCTTTGGGAAGAACAGTTGGTGAAAGGGCTGGAGGGAGGCAGCATGTCTGGCCTTGCAGTAATAGGCCTTGGGTTACTGCTGGTAATCCTGTCTTCCTCTTGTGGGATTAGAGGAGGTCAGAACATGTGGCCTCCTTCCATTTTTGCACAGTCAGATGCCTTAGACACTATACCACCAGAGCTCCTTGGACATACCTACCAAACAAAAAAAAAACCCAACTCAACTGCCGTCAAGACGGATCTGACTCATAGCGACCCCTCCTTGGGTTTCCAAGGCAGTATCACTACAGAAGTAGATTGCCCAACCTTCCTTCCAAGGAGTGGCTGATGGGTTTGAACCACCAACCTTCTGGTTAGCAGTCAAATGTGGGTGCAGGCATGTATACCCACTGCCAAGACACAAACAGGGATACTCCCCAGACACAACCAAATACCTTATAAGACTAGGTTTCTAGATTTGAAGGTTTAGGCCCATAGTCTCATGGGACAACTCAGTCAACTGGGCTAACACAGTTCACAAAACTCAAGACCTGCATGCCAGTGAAGTGAGTAGCGTCTGGGGTCTTACAAGCTTTTAAGCAGCCATTTAAGACAAACTACGGGTCCCTACTTGCCAGAATCAAAACATTAAGAAGGTAACTAACATCTCAGAGGAGAGACAAGTCAACACGAACCACCGCCTCATCCACCCTGAGACCAGAAGACCTGGTGCCAGACTATCACCCCTGACTATGTTGACCAGGCTCACAATAGTCGGTGCCAGACAGTATGATGCGGAGAAGACTCTTACTAAAAAAGAAAAAGCCACATAAACCAGAGCAGCAGAGAACAGAGGTGACCGAGCCTTTGGCCCAGACACTCTTTAAACCCAGAACCGAGCCTATCCCAAGACCACCATTTAGTGAAATAGTGGAGGAACACGCAAAATAAAGGATATTACCTGTCAGATCAGGGCCCTACTTAAATGCCCAAAGGTCAACAATGACTCAAAAGCGAAGATGAGAAGACAAAGGGGCAAGGAAACTAGAGTCCTGGAAAGGGGACAAACAGAAGCCAATTACAGAGACTGGTGACACACTGTGCTAACTGCAACTAACGTCACCGAACAATCTGTGTGGCAATTGTCAAATGGGAACCTAACTCAATCAAATAGTATTTAAAAATAAAAAAACAGCAGCCTACAGTCAGATACCAAAAGCTATGTGAAACATTTTAAAATGTCAACCTTCTGATTAGTTTACATTATCTCTGAAGAAAAAAAACAAAGAATATAAATCTTATTCATTCACAAAAATGAATCATAAAACACACTATTCATCCTTAGTATTGCTGACCAAATTCAGCATCTCTAAATTAAGACAAAAATATAATTATATAAGTGGAACTGTCCTCTCTGTACAATTTAAACACTTAAGATCCAAGAGTGAACTTGCTGCTAGCCCTGCCCCAATTAGTGTGGGGCTACTGTGTCTTAAGTGTGTGGCACACGCTACATGCTACACACATTCTGGCTGTTTTGTGGAAGTAGATGTGAGATGCTCACTGACAGCATTTTTTAACTATTTACAATACTGCTAATGGTAACAAAGAAAGCTGATGCTGAGGAAGATGCACAATTGTGGACAAAACCAGTGTATGTGCACCCTGTTCCAAACACTGAAAATCACCTGCAATTCCTCCCATTCCGTTCCACTAAGATCCAAAAAGCTCTCTAGCAACATCGAGCTAGGCTGCTGCTGAGAACCCCAGGATGCGGGGACAGTCTTCCTCTTCCTTGTGCGCACCGTCATGAACAGAAATGAGGGGTCCAGAGTCTCACAGTGTCCCCACCCACTGCTCCCACGTCTGCTTATGCCAAATGATTCACGCATTGAAAGGCCAGCCAAGCACACATGTCCACTCCTTCCCCCAACACCAGGAACAATCAGCAATAGCTCCTGGACAACAGCAGAGCCGTCAACACGGACAGGGCTTTGTCAGCACAGCCAGTAACAGACTAAAGGACGGGAAGGAGACAGAGCGAAGCCCCAACTGGAACCGGAGAGTCAGCAGAGAAAGAAAGGGGGGCCCAGAAGGGAAAACGAGAAGGACTTGTTACTCAATCAGGATTCTGAAGAGAATGAGGAGAAAGAAACTGTGGTTCTGTTTGTGGTACAGGAAGATAAGGACTGCTTAGGGTTGAATACGGCTTAACAAGGACACACAGTTCACCGGGGTTTCTGAAAGCTGTCTTAAGAATCACGTTCCTGGTTTTCAGTACTACATTAGCGAAGTCAAAGAAAGTATCAGCGCCTCTCTGGGGGAGACGGGGAGGGGGCAAGGTTTGGTGTATTCTCTTTTGGGGGGAAGCAGTCAGAAGAGAATGGTGGTGGGGGGCAGCCACAGTGTCCCAACTAGTGCACCCAGAGGAAGAGCCCTTACCAGGCCGTCCGTGTGATTGCACATGTCCCACAGCGGAATCAGAGCCAGGGTCACCCGGGAGCCGTCCTCCGTGGGAATCTGGTTCTGTCTCGTCATAACAGAGGACACGGCCCACCTGCCATGACCAGGAAAATGAAAGGTGCATAAGATCAAATCATCGGAAAGCTCACCTCGGGAAGAAACCACCAGAAATGTAGGTCTGTCTGACTTCTTACAAAGTTTCAAACCCTTTTGCTAAACACAAAGGTAACATTTGGTCTTCACCATCATTCAAAATTCAATTAAGGGAGATTTATCAAATTAATCAAAATGTGACTAAGGGAGATGCCAGAGGGAGGGAGGGCCGGGAACAGGGGTCCCAGGCCCCACCTGCAGACCCTGAATTCCCAGAGGGTCTTCCTTGCTAACCACACCACCCTCCCCAGGTGACCCTCCCCTCCTTCACCCAAACACTGACCACACGTATCTCAACCCCCAAGGAACAGCAAGAACCGTTTGAGACCCAGAATGCTGCTAGTGCTTACTTGCTACAGTGAATTAAATCTTTTTGTTCAAAAAGAAGTCCCCAGTTCACACTAAAATAATCTACTTGAAAAAAAAAAAAAAAATCTCGTGACCACCACGCTAATCTTAACCTCCAGGACTGTCTGGCTAGCACCCCAATCCCCAATCCCCCACCACTGTGGGTTAACGGCAGTTTCCACATGGCTATTAAAACGCCAATACGCATCCACACTGCTTGTTATAACTTCCGAAGCCGAGCTGTTCCGATGCTTTAAACCGTCTGACTGAAGGCTCTCCCTCTCCAAGATGCCACGTTCACTCAGAAACCACCCAGGCGAGCGTGCACTCCCCCCGCATTCCACGCCTCGTGCCCCATGCATCACACCAACCTGTAGTCCTCAAAGGTGAACGAGTCCTTCAAGGGCAGTCTGCTGGCATGAGGGTGGGTCTGGGAATCAGAAGTTTGAGAAGCAGAGGTGGAAAGAGAAAATGGCAAAACAAATCAGTCAGCAGAACCGCATTATATAGCTGCTAACAGATCCTAACAAGAGCCAAATGAAGCAGGAGGCGTCCAGCCACGCTCGGAGGGATCATCATGCCATTACGCTCTCATACATCACTGTCAACTTAATTTGTTGTGCCCAGCAGCCCCCATAAATCTGCTTCTTCATATTTCGATACTAGAACCCACAGCCAGTGCACAAAAATAAAATGCAAGGTGAACCGACTTTGCAAAAAGGAGGCACGCCCAGGCCAAGGCTATCAGAGCCAAAGCAACAAGGCGCCTCGGGCGTGAGGGGCCGGCCTGCCTTTCTCTATACCCAAGCAGGAGCCGTCAAATCTCTTCTCTCAACAAAAAGGACAATTACAGGCCTTCAAACACATTGCAAGCGCGTTCATTTGTCTCCGACTTCAATCATTTGGATGGGGATCAAGCTGTTATGTGCAAGCGAATCGCGTTCGCGGACACAGTGGTTCAGATATGAGAAAATCCAGAAAAAGAGCGCTGTGTGGAATTACAAAACAACATTTCCTAAGAAATAAGATAAAGACAAACGAGGATCCAAATGTTTAAATTTTACCACTTTTTGCCCTCTGGACAAAAGAAAAGAACATTTGATAAAAATATCATAAACTTCACACTTCACAGAAATGTTTACACATTTCTTGTTCTCCCTGTTCACAACGCCCCCACCTTAGACCTTTCAAGCACTTAAAACTTTTGTCTCAATTAAGAAATTAAAAGCTATAACAGTGTAATTTTAATCTTCAGTTTCAATTACTGGCTGATGGACAGATTGCAGTAAGTGATCAGGCGAACAAACGGCATCTCGGTGGTACAAATGGAAGCCGTTAATGCACGGCGCTCTGGGTGCCACGCCGTCTTTACTCCTGACGCGTCAGCATCACCAGGCCTGGTAATTTATCATCGCTCCCTGTAATGTACTCGCTGGCACCGAGCACAGGACAGTAGGGGATGAGGTAAAAGTGGGGCAACCCGTAAATCAATTAGAAAACAAAAGCTTGTGCGTGGTGTGTGATTTTAGGCAAATTACATATCACGACAGGCTGCCAGGACGGTGTTCGCTCCCAGGTACTGCCGCTCCTTTCCCGTCCTTAGCCCAGTTTTAACTCTTTGGAAGGAAAGTCAAAATAGAGAAATGGATTCATGTAATCTCTGACCTGGAGATTTGTGATAACAGAAATGCAATGAAGATGGATTTTAAGTCACATGTTAAATAACATACTGCCTAGGGACGTTTCGAGCTGTTATAGGGGTACCCAGCAAGCGCATCTCTGGGAGAGTCAGAAACAAAAACCCGCCCTGCCGTGGTCAACTGCACCCGCGACGGGAAATGCGAGCACTGAGGCTGCCTCGCACTCCTCTCGCTGGGGGATGAGAGGAAGGCTCTGGTGTGGCGCTCTCTGAGTGCCCATGTCACTCCTAAGCTCAGCTCCCAGGCCTGGCAGCCCGCAGGCTTCTCACCAGAAAGGACGGACTGCGGACGGGAGGCCCACTTCTCCCCGGGCGATGAACCGCCTGTTACAAACACGCAGAAAACCTTCAGGACTTCAAAGGGAAGGAACGCTATTGTTAAAATGCCTCTGCACTGAGAAATGACCAAACTTCAAATTATCTGATCGGCTGGGGACAATGCAAGTCCCATCTCTTCTCAAACTACAGGAGGTGAGGAAGCGTTGCTATGTTTGTTATTTTAAAATGTTTTAATTCACTTAAACTGTGGAAGTCAGTGGGGAATTTTGAAAGTTGGTAAATTCCAATGTTAAATCTCATAAGCACTTAAACTCTGACCCAAAAAAAGAGTTTGATTTATGACACAGGAGAAAAGACAGCAGTTTTCAAAAGTGGGTGCTGAACGTCAAGCTTCCCACGCGTCAGCCTCGCCCCTCGGAAAGCTGCTCACACAAGGGCAGCTGCATGGGGACCGCGCGGGAGAAAGCGCCGCCTCCTTTTTTGTGTACATACATTTCTTACCCATATCTGAGCTCATGCTCAGCGTCTGACGACGTCATAAAGAAAACTCACGGAACAAAACGTGGGCCTGTGCTCGCTTTTCAGGTTCATTTTGAAGAGTGGCTGTAGGGTTATGTGGTATGTGCAGAGCCGGTGAGAATCAGTCATTCTTACCTGCTTAAAAAACCACGGTGTGTAGACTGTGCTCCGTCCTGGATTAAAGCTGTTCTCCACAGAAACACTCCCTGAGCAGTTGCACGGAGCGATCTGACGCTACACAAGGCAGTTCACGTCCCTGCGACAGGCTCTCACTACTGTGACGCTATCGCCACCTACTGGCGGCGGCCAGGGCAAAGCCTCCCAAGCCACTTCCCTGGAAACCAAACCCAGTCTAATCCGGAGAGAAAGGCTGCGGGGCTTCAGCTTGACTCAGTGCAACGTGGTTTCTAAGGAGGGCGCAGACCTCTGAAAATTTTTATGTAACCATTTTACAAGGACTGTGAAACACTCGAATACCAAAAATGCTTGGCATGTGAGAAATACTTCATTTTGAAAATAAAATGCTCACGTATCCTAGAGAAAAATGAACAAGAATAAGGAAAACGCCTATTCCCAATGATTTTTATTTAAGCTCTGGACAGATTTTATTATTTTTCTTAATGCTAAGCCTTTTCCCTGTTGAAGAATGTGTTCAGGTTAAAACACACATCTTCCAAACATTCACGTGAAGTTACTTGAAAACGCCTGAGGTGGACCCAGCTGTGCGTCTTTGGGCTCCTATGTGATCGTAAGACAGGAGAGCTACTGGACGCACCTCGTGTCACAGGGCAAACTCCCCCCAGTGTCTGCAGTCACGGTACGCCTTTTCCAACAGGCATTTCCTGCTTCTGCTTTAAAAATAACATGCAGGACGTAAACAGAAAGCACGCATTTTCTGGCACTTGGTTTGAGCTGTGACTGTTGTTCCCTGGGAGGTCTGGTAGCGTAGTGCCTAAGGCACTTGATTGCTAACCAGAAGGCTGGAGGTTCAAACCCACCAGCCGCTCCTCGGAAGGAAGGTTGGGCAATCTACTTCTGTGGAGATACCGCCTCAAAGTCCATGGCAGTGAGTTTGGTTTGGTTTTGGTGGTGTTTCCTAGACAGAGGTGCATATGAACGAGTGAGACGCTGACCAGCTCTGATCTAGCCACCGCGAGAAAGGCCCCAGACAGGCTTGTCACAACGTGGGGCTACGCACTAAGGGCACCCACCGCCCCAGCAAATATGGGCTTAGAAACTAGCCACTGATTTCCTGCTTTTCATAGGTGCTTGATATTCTTATACTTGAACATAATAAATATTTGAACTTGGAGAAATGAACAACTGCTAAGCCTCCAGCAGACATGAGCATTCAAGGACTTCCTTTTTAACAGAGCATTCTTGTTTCCATATGCCATTCAAGCGGCCCACTTCAGCATGAGCCATTCTCTTTTTCCCCTGAGACTAGGGACACGGCACCTCACACACACAGTCACGGTGTCCTCCCCCTAAGACTCAGGGACACGGCACCTCACACACACAGTCACGGCGTTCTCCCCCTAAGACTCAGGGTCACGGCACCTCACACACACAGTCACGGCGTTCTCCCCCTAAGACTCAGGGACACGGCACCTCACACAACACAGTCACGGCGTTCTCCGCCTAAGACTCAGGGACACGGCACCTCATACCACACAGTCACGGTGTTCTCCCCCTAAGACTCAGGAACAGTGCACCTCACGCACACAGTCACGGCGTTCTCCCCCTAAAACTCAGGAACAGTGCACCTCACACAACACAGTCACGGCGTTCTCCCCCTAAAACTCAGGGACACGGCACCTCACACAACACAGTCACGGCGTTCTCCCCCTAAGACTCAGGGACACGGCACCTCACACAACAGTCACCATGTTTGGAAAGATTAATACCTATAATTGTTTGTTTGGCTTCAATAAGGAGCAATACTGCTAAATATGTAAGTATGACATTTTGAAGAATTTACCATACTGCATGGGTCTGGTGGCTATGCTTAAGGAAATTAAAGACCACTACAGTCAGCATATTTGATCCTTATTAAAGTTCTATCTATAATAATCACTCACGTAAAACAAAAATAAACCAAGAAGAAATTTAAATAAAACCTATGGATTACAGGAGTTTGAAGATGAAAAAACTAACAGTACTCTGGTCTTTAAAAAATTGATTTAGCATGCAGCTTCTCTTTATAGTCCCTTGATAAAAATGAAATCTCCCTAACAAATACTTAATAAAACCTGTCAATATCCCTGGAAAGAAAAATGACACAAATGCATTAAGTATTAAATACCCTTGGAAAAAGTCACATATTCCATGCATTTCTGATGTACTATCTTGACATTAATGTAAAACCTTGATATTTATAATTGACAGATATTTAATAAAATCTAAGAGAAGATGGCTGCCCCACAGCATGCAAATGCTGCGGGTTGATCAGAAACGCAGGACGCAGACCTGCACTTAAACTAGACAAACAGTGAGCGTGCGCTGCACGGGTCAGCTGCCGGCTCGTTTCCACTCAGACAACAACCCTTGGTGGCGAAGCACAGGGAGCCGAGCCGTCAGTCCGTGAACGTCTGACTCAGAAACACTGGGTGTGCACCGTCACTTTACAACAGGAACAAAATGCACTGGTGGTTCGGGTGGTTTGGGTGGTGGTTTTTAACAGCTAACAATAAGCATTTTAAATAAAATATAAGCACTTCCTTAAATACCCCAAGTATTCTGTAAAACAATCCTCAAAAGAAATATATGTAACCTACAGGAAGATCCAAGGCTCTCTGAAGGAGAAAAAAAAAAAAGGGACTAAAGTACTAAATGGCCTCTAAAGGGTGCGTGTAAACACCAGGTCCCCCCCCTCTCATCAAAGAGATGAGAAAACCAAACCACAGCAGAGTTGAACACACTGATCACCTGCA